CTGTAGCTATACAATAATACGTTTCTGTATTTTGATTTTGTGTGCAAACAAATGAATCTGTTTCTGGTTTTTCGTTTTCCGTTTTCTTTTTTTTTGAATGCCTCTTTATTTAATTGAGATTACTTTAATGACTACGAAGAGGGGAAAAGAGAGACGCAAGAGATGGCATTTCAGATTTTAGACACATGACACGTCGTATCCATCAATTTATTGTTTTATTCCTATTTCTGTTTTCTAATCCGAAAATTTAATTGATGTGATGATTTTACATTAAGAAATTTTGAAACGACAATAAATAAGAGATAACTATCATCAAACTCTCCAAGACCACCACCAACAAAGATTAATCAAAAGATCCAGTGGTTCTTATACAAGAACCGTCGGTGGTTCTACAGTATCAGATCTTACAAGGTCCTATGAGCAAATAAACCACCATACCACTGTCAACAATCTTTTCAACATTGCGCTAAACACCATTCAGTACTTGCTATATATACAGAGAAAGTTAGGGTTCATAAATGCTTACTTTAAACCCTAAACCCCTGTGCTACTTGTAGAAGAACCCAATCACGATTCTTGGTAGTTCCTAAGGTCAAATGACATGGTACTCGAGCAACTGCATCAAATGAATCATCATGGAGTTTGTTTGTCAGATATTATACCCAAAGTTTTTGCTAGTACCCACGAAAAATTAAGATTCATGTGGGAATTCATTCATTACCTCCTCTCGACATCTCTGTAAACTCCAACCAGAGCTTCGGCCTTGTCGTAGAAGCTGTCCTTGAGAGATATTACAATGCTTTGGAAGCCATTCCCATCCTCCGCATCTTGATTGTCTCGTGCGGCTTGGCATGATTTGCTACGGATGAATTTAGCAACCTTTGCAACGTTTAAATTATCGAGCGCAGCATCCACTTCATCCAGGATGAAAAATGGCGAAGGCCTATAGCTGAAAAAATGGAAACGAAAACAGCACAAGGGACTTCATCAAACCATGACTATTTTTACGTATCGGGAAAATAACAAACTTCATACGGCAACGCAAGATCACAGTCTGCTACTCCAATATCAAAGACTTTACCTAAACACATTAGAGATAAATTGAGACTAAACTACAAAATCATTTTTAAGATTGAAACGTATGGGATATCTAGGTGGTTGGGGATACCTATGGATGGAGAAGAGCAACGCCAAGGCTGCAACTGTTTTCTCTCCACCAGAGAGCTGTTCCATGTCACGAAATCGTTTTGTTGGGGGCATCGTAGTATACTTTATACCATGTAGAAAAGGATCATCCTCATTCTCTAGGTTTAGATAAGCAGTCCCACCCAGTGGATGCGTATTACTCTTGGTTAGTTGCTTGTAGATCTTGTCAATGTTGCTAGAAATGTGGTTGAAAGCTTCCATAAATAGCTCATACCTGCACAACAATTTGAAGTCAGCAGCAAAAAACTCTAATGGAAAATATGAATCTAGTTTGAAACAACTGAGATGCACGTGTGTGCGCGTTCTATCCAGACAGTAACTCTAACAGGAAATTTCCACAGAAATAGAATCTTCACACTTTTACTTGTCCATTTTGGCTTCCACCATAAAGTCGTTGCTATTTGGTAGCAATATTCTTCAAACTCAAAAAATCATTTCACAAGATAAATTTCTAGTTACCTCTTCTGCTTAACAGTATTGTACGCATCTGCTACTTGCTTCTCCTCTTTCCTGGCCGCTTCAAACTCTTGGCTAACTTGTTTTTCTTTCTCTTGTATAGCCTCATACTGGTCAAGTGCTTTCAAGTTTGGGGCCGTTCTTTCAATCTCCGATGTTTTAGCTTCTATTCTCTGCCTGAATTCCGCATCCAATTTGTCACGAGCAGATGGTCTCCGTTCTTGGAGATAAGTTCTATCCAACTCACTAAAGTCAAACTGTGGCCCATCTGAGTCATCTTCCTCTGCAGCATCTGATAAAACGGGAAGGTCAATATTTTCAAGCTCACACTTCTCAGTAATTTCCTGTTTCTGCGAGATCAGCTGCTCAATTTGTGTTTCCTGATACCAATACCATATTGAAGCTTTAGTGCATATAAACTCAGACATAACAAATCTTTGAGAAAGCATTTGATGAATCTCCATTGTACCTTGGAATGTATCTGACGATTGAGCTTGGTTATGCTTGTTGTCGCTTCAGAAGCTTTCTTTTTCCAATCCAGGATTTCCTTCTCATACTTTTCCGACTTTTGTTTGCACTCTGCAAGCAGGAGCATTAGATAGTCACACCTCTATGAAAGAAGATACCACAACAGATTTGTGCTAGGCAAAGAACATTAGACAGGAAAGGTGAAAATCAAAATATATGGTTGTGTAACTTATGCAAAGGAACAGGGCAAGAGAATCTATCATACTGAATCTTCACATCTTCCATCTGTCAGCCACTAACATTATATCTTAATATGATAGCTTTCGAAATGTAGTGTAACCATACAATTAACGCAAGATGTCAAGCAGATCATGTACATCCCAAAATTTGTTCAAACCCAAGTCAGAGAAATCTACAAACATCAATTGGTTAAAGGGTGTCTAAAGATCCGTAGAAACAAATAACTCCCAAGAAAGAATACGAAAATTCCATATTTCAATACATTACTATAGTGAAAGGGCTCCAACATAAGGTCAACAATATTGACAAAGCAAACTCAGATACGGACAATGTACTTTTACTGAATCATATTGATGTCTGCTACAAATGGCACTGAGATTGAAAAAAAAACATAGAACTGAAAAGGCCATCAGATTTATGTAGAAATAGAATCAATATACCTCCCATTTCCTTCTTCCAATTGTTGATTTCATTAGTAGCTTTTTCTGTTAATTCCTTAAGTTCAGACTTCCTCTTCTGTATTTTTTCCAAATGAGTTTCCAAAGAACTGATAGAAGATTCTAGCTTTTGAATTCGTGATCCCACATCTCGGTTTTGCTCATATTCCAGCCTGAAATTCAAAAAAAAAAAAAGATTTTCATTGGTCAACAAAAAATGCTTCCTTTTACTCTAATCGTACAACTTAAGCTCCATTACATAGAAAGCAGTATGTCAACTCACGCAACTAGTTAGGGTTTTACAGAGTTTGTTGACACAGATTTTTACATAGGCTACAGTTTACTGACCCTTACACAATACAAGATGTTGTTAGACCATGGCTGCCTACTAATCACATAAATCTCAGAGCTGTAGTGCTTTCTTTTTACGAGGCACGTGAATGTCAAAATGCAACAACAGTACGGATGCACAACAAAATGTTTATTTTTAACCAGAAACGAAATATCAGAAATGAAAAGTTGACTTCAGAGACAGAGCTATATGATAGTACAGAAATCAAAAGAGACTAAAACTCTATATGAGAAATTTGAATATATCTTATATGTAACCAGAAAAACAGAGCAGAAGAGACATACTGGTATTTAAACTTAGCAAGCTGGTTACTCAGATTCAGCCTTTCATCAACCACATATTGAGCATCCTTGAGCTGCTTTTCTTGATATTCACGTATGTTTGCGACGCCAACAGACTGGCTAAAATCCTTAAAGACACGGTCCACAATCTCATTGATTCTTTTCTCCAACTTCCCGATTTCTGAAATCCTCTTATCAACCTCATTTTTAGACTACAAGACCAACATCATTCAGTCATATTATTGTCATCAGGTTTTAACTCTACCAAATAAGAGAAAGATATTCAATTACCTTATTGAGTTCAGGAGTCATGCGTCTAATTTCTTCAGTAATATTCCGCTTCTCTTGCTCAAGATGTGAGAGTTTGTCTTTGATGCTTTTCTGTACAACAAATCCACTACTCAGTATTTCCAAAATAGTGTAAAGTGAAGCAAAAATATCACACTTCTCCTAGCAGAAGGAAAGATAAAAGATAATGAATGGCATTCGTATCCCCAGTTAGGGTTCGCTTCACAATAGTAAGTACAATATATGAGCCCTCATCTTGGAATTGTTACCTTCTCAATTTCAGCATACTGGATCTTTTTTTCAAGTCCACTTATTTTACCGGATATTTCAGACTCCTTTATCTGCATTTCTCGAATAGATCCAATCTTTTCCAACTCTAGTTCATATTCTTCTTTCTTTTTTTTCAGTCCTGCACAACCCAAATTTTGGCCCTAAGACAATACATCGGAAGTGAAGACACTCTAAACCAGCTGGTGACAAACCAACCTTCAATTTTCTTATCATCCCATTTATTGGACTTTGCTTCCATTCCACCACTGGTACCACCAGTCATTGTTCCCGACTTTGTGAGTAATATACCATCAACAGTAACAACTGAAATAATAGAAATCAGAATATGTATAAAAGCCAACGTTAGTGCATGCATATGAGTAACTTACACCTAAACAAGTAAACAGGAACATACCTTTAAATCTCTCTCCAGTCCAGCTAAGAACCTTGGCTTCTTCAAGTTCGTCACAGACAAGAGTATTTCCAACAGCAAAGAGGACCGCCTTCTCCAATTCAGGATCAAACGTGGATTGGTTAAGGACCAGAATATATAAATTAGAAACCTGCTAGCGTTAAGCTTCCTACAATTCTTGATCTTTGGTTCAATAAATCAAAATAATCTCAAGCTACCCAAAGTCATGCATGCAGGCTATGATATGAAGCCAAAAAGGATGAGAAATTATTAATGCATGCAACCTTGAGTATGCCAAAGTCAAATCAGTTCACTTATTGCAAAGGATATTGGATAACATCGAACACCAGCTTTGCTGTGCCGCCCAAATTTCTCAATCTTTCAAACACTGGCTTGACACGTACTGACTGAAGAGGAATAAATGTCATAGGAGGAAGCCTTTGCTCTTTCAAGTACTGCAAATTACAAGTAGACAGCTCATTTCATCCCATATCTAGAGTAGAAAAGCTCTTAAAGAGGTACTCTATATTGCTTAAACGCAAG